AAAATGCCTTACCCAGGGTCACACAGAGAGTGTTTCTAAGAAGGGGCACTTGAACCTAGGTCTTCCTGGCTTTGAGGCCAGTTGCTATCTACTTTACCACACTACTCTTCATGTGTAGATTTAAACACCTAAAAATAGCAAATTGTTGCTTGCACTTTGTTATGTAGAGCTACCACGTATAACAATCTACCTGATGCAAGCTGTAGTCTTGCCAATGTTCTAAGGTCTTTACTATCCCAAATTAAATTTTTTCCTTATTTGAGAAGAAAATAAAGAGTTTAGGCTGTAGAGAAAATGGAGTGACTGCAACACCTTTCCTCATGATGAGAGACAGCATAATATATAATAAAGTGCCATAACTCCAGTAGCTATAATTGGATCTTAATGAAAATTATCAGATTCTATTATCCCATCATTAGCTTATTATGACATTCTAAATAGAATTTTAAATGCTAATAGCGACTTTAACAGGAAGCATTCTGACATGTAATAGAGGCTTGACTGGCTTAAGATCAGGAAGGCCTGATTTTCAGTCCACTTCTGACACTGTGTCTTCTGTATAACCCCTGGCAAGTCACTTACACACTCAGTTCCCCCAGACAACTCTAAGACTATTACACCACAAAGTGGCAGATCTAAATTCATGGAGAGAATTTCCTTATTAGGAATACTCTACACCAGTGAAATCATAGGTCTTGGAACAAACCAAACCAAACCAAACCAAAAATAAACCTACAGGGAAAAGATAGAAGGTTCCAAAAATGTTTTCTTGGTGTCTTCAAAACAATATAGTTTCAGTTTTCCTAAAGATATTTTTTAATGTGAAAGCTGCTTAAACTGTTTATACAGTGCTTAGTGTGGTGCCTAACACATAACAGGTGCTTAATAAATATTGATTGATTGATTTTCACTTTTATTTTTGAAGTTTCATTTTTCAATGACCAAAAAAATACCTTATTTATTGTAATATAGGTTGGGCTTACAACTAGGATCCTAGAAGAAATTCTAGGATTATAAAACCTCAGAGGTCAATAAGTCCTGTCCTTTTCATTTTACAGATAAGGAAGGAAAATGAAGCCCCAAGAGATTAATTGATTTGGCAGGAGTCAAACAGGTAGCAAAGAATGAGAGGTAGGATTCAGTCTCCAAATTCAAGGCTCCTTTAGTGCTGATGTTTTAAGAATATCCTCTCCTGATGCCCAACAATTAGGGAATGGCTGAACAAATTGTGGTATATGATTGTGATGGACTACTATTGTATATAAGAAATGATGACCTAAGTGCTGTCAGAAAAACCTAAAAAGATTTACATGAACTGATGCAAAGTGAAATGAGCAGAAGAAAGAAAACATTGTATATGGTAACAGCAATACTGTAAGATGATCAACTGTGAATGATGTAACTACTCTCAGCAATAGAGTGATCCAAGATAACTCTGAAGAACTTAGGATGAAAAATACTTTCCATCCCAAGAAAGAACTGATAGACCCCGAATAGAGAGCAAAGCATACTTTTTTTAACTTTATTTTGCTTGGGTTTTTATTTTGTTCTATATTTTCTTTTACAACATGACTAATACAGAAATGTGTTTCACATGACCTACACATATATAGCCTATATCAAATTGTTTGCCTTCTCAGTGAAGGAAGAGGGAAGGAGAGAGAGATTTTGTAACTCAGTTTTAAAAAAGAATGTTGAAAATTGTTTTTACATGTAATTGAGGGAATACAAATTACTAAATAAAAAAAGAATCTCCCCTCCCACATCTCCAGTACAGTTTTAAACAATTTCTTGTAAAGGCTTATGGTATCTGATTGATTTTGTTCTCTACCAGGTAGTGCATTTTTTCTGGAATGAAAGAATGCAGTTGAATTTTTTTTCATTAATGTGTGGCCATATTTGAGAACTCAGACAGGTAGAAAACAATAATGTTCTTAAAATTTGTGGAAAATAGTTTTCTAGGGCAGAATGAAGTTGGTTTTGTTTAGCCTTAAGCTAGCAAGCAGGAATTGGGTCAGCATTTAAGCTCCCTAGAAGACAGAACTGAGGAATAAATCATAGAGCAAAAGAAGTTTTCTAGATCATGAAGAGCTAGATTAGGTGTGTGGCATCACGGTTTCTGAGGAAAGACATAAGGTATACAGACAACTTTGGTTACCTCACAATTGTTCCTAAAGCTGACCTTTTATATTTTACTATTTCTTCTTTAATATTAGGAAGAGGGGTAGCATATGGACTGTTTCATTCCAATGTTATTGGTGTCATAAACTATGTGTTTTCAAGAAGAGGTGAGTTATAAAAGGACATTCCTTTAATCCTTAAGTATAGTGGCAATGTATGATGGGGTGAAGAATTTATAGAGCAAGAGACATAAAATTTTCTTTAATTTGCTCAGTTTGGCCAAATATTTGTGAAAAAAAATCTGAAAACAGCTAATAAACTTTATAGTATTAAAGTACTACATTGACCACATGGATAGGTTTATCTCCAGTAAGAATATAAGTTTTAAAGATTTTTTTTAAATATGATTTTTATAATTGAAAGTTACAATAGAATTTTGTTAAGAAAACATAGGGAAATGTCAGCTCTGTAGAAATTTCATTAATTTTTTAAAGTAGCATACCAAATCAATAGTAATAAAAAGACTAAGGTTTGTAAAATGTTTTATATTTATTATCTCATTTGAGCCTTAGTATCCTGTGGGGTAAGTTCTAAAGGTGCCTATCCCTCAAAAGTCATAAAAAAGCATTTACTCTAAGTCTTCAAGCTGATAAATGGTGGATTTAGTACAACAATCTAATAAACTATCTACTGTATCACATGGTCTCCCTAATAGGGTAAATCTATTTTTTTCCAGATAGTTATCTGTAATTGTAAGATAATCAAAAAATCACAGTTCATATAGTCAATCCATTAACTCCATTTATAATAAAAATGAGAGGAGCAATGGAAAAGTACTTTCAGAGTACAGGCTAATGGACAGAAAAGAATCAGAAAATACTTCTTGGTCTCCAAACAGCCATGGAGTGGGTAGAACTTCATACTCAAAACAGCTGCTGGACTTCATGTTTATTTGTGGTTGTTGTTCAGTCATTTTCAGTGTTATTCTTTACTGACCCCATTTAGGGTTTTCTTGGCAAAAATACTGGAGTGATTTACCATTTTCTTCTCCAGCTAATTTTACACATGAGAAAACTGAGGTAAACAGAGTTAAGTGACTTGCCCAGGTTATGTTTGTTTATAATACAACAAAAGAATCTCAGCTGAAAGAAAGCTTGGCCATTAAAGGAATGTCCTTTCATAGCTCACCTCTTCTTGAAAACACATAGTTTATGATATCAATTACACTGGAATGAAACAGTCCATATGCTACCCCTCTTCTTAACTAACATGAAAGAAGGAACAGCAAAATACAAAAGACCAGCTTTCGGAACAGTTGTGATGCAGCCAAAGTTGTCTGTATACCTTATGTCTTTCCCCAGAAACCTAGTAGCTTTGTGATGCTCCACATCTAATGTAGTTCTTCATGATCTAGAAAACTTATTTTGCCGATGTTAGCTGGTCATGGGCTTAGCAGCAGAAGAGGAAATGTCCACTTTCTATGATGATGCAATAGCAGAGGCATCAGCTTAGATAATTTCAGAAGGGTGAGGGGGGAAAGTTCATTCTCAACATCAATGATTGGAAGCAAACTTTATGAGACAGTGTCCAAACATTTTCTGGTACCGATTTAGTTTGAGAATGGTCATTTTGGCTCTCAGATAAGCAGAGCAAGGATGTATTAAGGTAGATAAGCTACGTGAGATATGGACATGGAAGCAGGGGACCTCCAACTCTCATGGTGGTGATAAATTTCTCTTACTGTTTGTTTTCATGTGTGAGTTGCTATAAAACTATGGAGTTCAAATTTAGTAATGGAGGGTTTGGGCCTGGCTATCTATCTTTTGAAACAGCAGAGATGTTTACTCAGGGACTAGTTTTTCTTTGGAAAATTCAACTGCATTCTTTCATTCCAGGAAAAATGCACTACCTGGTAGGGAACAAAATCTATCAGATACCATAAGCCTTTACAAGAAATTATTTAAAACTGTACTGGAGAGGTGGGAGGGGAGATTCTTTTTTTTAAAGTATTTTTTTTAGTATTTTATTTATTTAGTATTTTATATTCCCTCAATTACGTGTAAAAACAATTTTCAACATTCTTTTTTAAAATTGAGTTACAAGGAACAGCCAGCCTACCATACCATGGCAGTAATTACAAAGAGTAGTAATAAAAGAGAAATAAAAACTATTATCATCTGTGATATAGATATATATATGTGTGTATACATACATACATATACATATACACACACATATATAATATTTTTCATTTGCATTATTTAGAAACATCCCAGTTGTTTAGTATTTTTACTGAACATGATTACTTGGTTAATACAAAATTACATGTTGAAAAGAAGTCTTATGTTGTGGCACTGTATTTGACTACAATTGGTATATAAATGTTAATTGAACTACATTAATATAAAAAGGTGAGAATTATTGTGATTTATTCAACATTCTATTTTAAAAACCCTTTTGTCTTGCTGCCTATGATTAGGCATCAATTTTCAAGAAGTTACAATTAGTTAAGAACCCAAATTATTCCCCTCAAAAATATTGTTTGAATACTAACTAGTCTACAATATGGATTAATTAAAAATATAAATGTTTTTCCTCTAGAGTTCTATAGAGAAATATAAGATTTTATAAGCAATAACTGGCATGTGCTCAACATTTTAAGGTTGAAATATACTTTCCATATACATCATTATTTCTTGTTTGGATGGTGCCTGCATTTCTTTACATTGCAACTGCTTTTAGTTGAATCGTGGTAGGAAACTATTGGTAAAAGGCACCTCAAGCATTTAAATTATCATCAATTGTCAGAAAACATGACTGTAGAATTAATGGTTTATGAAATTTCCCCACTAAGTTTGATGGTTGTCCTGTATTTTCAGATGGCTACCCCAAAGAAGAAATGGTTTATAGATGGAGGAAAAATTCAGTGGAGGCTGCTGATCAGAAATCATGGCGACTTTATCAATTTGACTTCATGGGTCTCAGGAACACGTCTGAAATTGTGAAAACTTCTGCAGGTAGGTACTAGATACAGAAACTCCAAACCAAGATCTGCTTATTTACATGGTTAACAATTTACTAACACACCCCTGTCTTGACACTTTTGGGGTATTTCATTAACTATGCCAGACAAGTATGACAACTGCTTTGTTTTATGTTGCATTATACAAAAACCACATACATAAAATTAAAAAAAAATAGATATATCAACTATTTGATTATCATATACCAAACATTTTGTATTGAGCATGTGAGTATTTATGTATGTATTGCCCCCAAGGACCAATTTTTGCATTGAATTATTGATTTATTTTTTATTTAACATTGTGGACAGAGCCTTAATCTAGGATTATTCTTGAACAGTCTTGTGAAGCATTATTATATGTGGAAATTTTCATCACTATTGATGTCATATACACACATTTCTACCTGCAATATAAGGAACAAAGACAAACTATTTATCATATTTTTTCAATACCAAGTGAAAAATATTAGTTTCAGATTATTGGGAAGGGAGGCAGACAACCATTTAATTTTCACTTCCAAGTTCTAGAATCATCTTTTCCTTTTCTCTGAAGTATATGTTTTCTCCTTGTACTTCTTTCCTTAAGTTTTTGAAACATACACATACTCTAATTAGATTGTATCATGTTGTTATTGAACTGTTAAATGAGGCATATAATGAGATGAACAGGAAGTCAAAGGTATCCATATTATTTTCCACATTGCTTTGTGGTCACTATCATCCATTACTCCAGCAATTCCAAGTTTTATTAAATATGAAGATAACTCAATAATATTAAAAAGTTTAATGGATACCCATGACAGTAATTAGTATCAAGCGACTGAAGAAATTCTTGATGACAAAAAATAACTCTGAATTTAGAAATGCTTTTAAATGAATTTATCACAACGGTATCTACACACACACACACACACACACACACACACACACAGAAAATAGTAATGATTATTGTGAGGCATTATTTAGTCACTTTGGAAAAAATATGATTGCTAATTTATTATTCAGAGTCATTTCACATATTTTGTGCAGTAATATAAGGATAATTTTGGTGCTTGGGAAGTTTAGGAGCTCATAGGAGTTGGGGATTATGAGTAACTGTGAACAAAGCTCTCTGAATGGTGGCAGTGGTAAGTGGAATGATATCTGTTTTAATGTGAAATAGTGATGAATTTTAAAGAATGAAAATGGAGGAATTTATTGAAATTTACATTTCAATTTTGATAAATGTACAGAAATTCTATGGACACAGGCTAAAACATCTTCTTTTGTGAAGACCTGTTGCCAACTGTGAACCAGCATTTTTAATGAATGTTCTAATAGTTGAAAGACAAATTTTTCCCCCTAAAATACTGTTGTTATAATAGCAAACTTTGGAGGCACATGATCTTGGAAAGAGTGTTATAAAACAAGAAATCTTGACTCTATCAAACTGAACTACAACTCTGTCTCTTGGTCAAATTAATATCAAGCAATGGTAAATGTTGTTTGATCAAGGACAAATCTAATTTTCATAAGTAGGCAACTAAGGATGACAAGAATAAAAAGGTGTAAATTAATGTAATCTACTGATGGACTGCTCACAAAGCTTGTAAAGCCTAGTGAAAAAAAGCATATACATACATGAAACACTTAGAAAACTAGAGGCAGTTTGATAGCGCAGAGTACTGGATCACAAGTCAGGAAGACCTCAGTTTGAAACCTGCCTCTGAAACTTATTAGCCATGTGACCCTAGACAAGTCATTTAACCTCTATCTGCCTTATTTTTTATGTCTATAAAATGTCTACCTCCCAAGGTAAATGCTACCATTATATATGGACACTGGTGTCATATGTGTTTAAGTAGTATGGGGCAGACATGAGTTATACAGGGTAACTTCTTGTTTTTTGTCCTTCATTCTCAAAAAGGACCATGACATCAGGGAGGTGATGCCATGACATGCAAGTGAATTGGATTTAAATGAGGGAGGGCTGTGCAAAGTCACCAGCATCACTTTCTCCTCTGGAGGCAGCTGGGTCCAGTGGCAAGATATAGATCAGGATGACTGCCGATGTTCCCTGGAGACAGTAGGAGACCTTGGTCTTTTTAAGCTAAGCCCTATAATAGGTCTCAGTTTGACTGAGGCAACACCCATTCAGTGATTAAGGCTGGGTAAGAAATGTGGCAGAGAATGGTCTCTTTTATCAAGTCAAAAAAATCAATCTGAAAGGGGAAGACTCTCTGGGTTTCTGGCCAAAACAGAAACAATTGCTATTTATATTCACCCTGAGTCAATCAGGGCCCAAACAATGATCAAGTGAGGCCTGCCCTGGGATTATTGTTGGCCAATCAATGCAAGACAGAGTGATTTGCGTTTAAGGCATGGTCCTCAAGAAAAAAAAAGCTACCCTGTAAACCCCAATATATCTTATAAGAAATACAAACCCCCAAATGATTTTCTGAAAGATGCCAAGCCAAAAACCAGAGTAAGGGTTTTATAGATTCACTAAACATAAATTCATGAAAGGTAACATCTACTCCCTTTATTCCCTTTAACTGATGTCTGTTGTATTTTACCTTTACTTCCTAAGAATCCCTGTCTCTCTTCAAAGGTCAGCTTAGGGGTCACTTTTTTCCTAAAGTCTTTCCTTATACTCTAATTACTAGTTCCTATCTACCCCCAGAAAACACCTTATATTTTATACTTAAATCTATAAAATGTATATTTTGCCCTTCTCCATACCCTTTCCCCTTACATTCTAGTAAGCTCATCAAAGGCAGGGATCAATTATTTCACTTTCATCTTTGTATCCCCAGTGCCCAAGTCAGTGCTTGAGATCTAGTAGGTGTTTAATACAGGTTTATTAATTAATTAGTTGATTTTTCCAATTTTGCTTCATATTCAATCCTGTAATCAGCCTCAAAAATTTCAGAAGTAATAGTCACATAGATTTACAAGTGGTACCATTGTACATGCTTTACGATATGTCTCAGCATAATCAGCTGTTACTTTAAAAGACAATGGAGGAAGTACTATTGATGAATTTTCAGTGTCTAGGTTTGATGTTGAAGTAGATTCTTGTTGGCATTTATTTCATTGTCTTGTTATGAGCCATCACCTCTTTCAGGAAGTGAGCATTCTCTCTACTTGTCCCAATCCCACCCACCCTTTCCTTGACCATTCCACTCCTCAATGACTACTCCCTCCTTTGGTCTCCCATTAACATTTATTCTTTTCTTTTTTGATACATCATAATATAGTTCTTTGTGAGAGGTTTTCTGTTGCTCTGAGATCTTTTTTAAAAAATTGTAATAATTTTATTTTTTAATTTATGGAATGAAACAAGCATTTCCATAACATGGTATATTAAAAAAAAAGAGATGACTGCACATGAGACTGTAAATCTATTATTTACAACTTGCTATTTCTTTTAAATATGTAATAAAGTTACCATGTAAATTTCTTTTTTCCCCCCTTAGTGTATGTCTTCTGCTCTCCAACCAGATTTAAAGTTTCATGAAACAGGAAAACACATTTTGCTTTCCTTTGCATTTCCCACAGGCACCTAAAACAGAGATGCACATAAAGCTAGCAGCAGCATTTTATCTGCCACATACCCTTCCCAATCACTGAGCACTGGTTCCTCAAGTGTTAACTGGTCCAAAAAGCATCTCCCAGCCTCCTTTAGAACTTGCCCCAACCTTCGCATGGGTCAAATACAGTGATGGGTCATATGGTGATGGGTCAAACTCATAGAAGGAAATACATACATAATACACACCCTCCTTCTCCTTCCCTAGAATCACTGACCTTGTTAATAATACCACAGATGTTTTTCTATTGTTTTTTGTTGGTATGCTTTACTCAAAGGTCGCAATATTCTGTCCCTCACACATGGTAACAGTATTACAGACCTATGTTTCTTTTTAACATTGTCTATTCCTGACCTTATTTAAAAAAATGTAAATTCTGTCTTTGCCTTCTCTATTTTCTGACACTAAATGCTCTTTTAAAGTTAAGGACCATAAGTAAACAAGAAACAATGATGTAGAGCAGAGCCAGCAAGAGCCCTAGAAACAATCTAGTCCAAGCCCCACATTTTTTTTTCAGATTAGAAATTATTTTACAGGCTCAGAGAGTTTAAATGACTTGCCCAGGGTCACCCATGCAGTAAATGTTGGTGATAGAATTTGAACCTAAATCTTCCTAACTCCAAATCCAGTACTCAATCTATTCTACCTCAAGACTCATCTGGAGTCTTGTCAATGGTCTTCAAGCTTGTTTCTGAATGCAAAAATGTTCCCTCCCTGTGGGCTTGGTGGTGAAAGATTCAGATTATGGGGTAAACTTTCAGATTTCTTTTTTGAAGACATTGATCATGCCGAGTGGTTGACAGATGACTATAGTTAGCTTCAATTTCCCTCTGTTGTTTCCATCTTGTTCATCTAAATCATAGGTTTTTAACCTTTTTTTAATGTCATGGACCCATTTAACAGTCTAGTAAAGTCTATGGCACCTTTCTCAGAATAATATTTTTAAGTGCATAAATTAAAATAAAGAGGCTTACCAAGAAAACCAATGATACTGAAATTGTGTTGTGGATTAGTCATGTCTGACCCTTCATGACCCCATTTGGGTTTTCTTGGCAAAGATACTACAGTGGTTTGCCACTTCCTTCTCCATCTCATTTTACAGATGAGGAACTAAGACAAACAGGGTTAAGTGACTTGTCCAGGTTCACATAGCTAGTAATTGTTTGAGGCCGAATTCAAACTCGGGTCCTCTTGACTCCAGGCCTGGCACTCTATCCACTTGGCAACCTAGCTATGTACAAATACAGTTATTAAAATATTTTTTTTAAATGTGGAGGTGGGGGCAGAATGAGTGACATAATCATACTTATGCTTTAGGAAGACCAATCTGATAGATGAGTAGAGAATGGATGAGTGGGGATATATTTGGGAGACCCAGCCAGAAGGCTATTTCTGTAGTCTAGGCATGAGGGTATGAGGG